AGAGACAAACTAATACCTTCCAGGCATTGATTTTTCAAACTCAAAATCAAGTTCAATCCAGGCTCTCTTTTGTGGAGTTTTGGCTATAAAAAGCGCTTTGACGAATACCTACAAAGCAAGAAAAACCTTGTTTTATTATGTAGTTAGTGTAAGGTAACACTTTTCCAGGTTCATCTTGATTGTCCATACGGTCAGCCTGCCAGCAACCTTGAAAGATATGCTAAAGATAAAATTTGATGTATAACGTCGTTGCTTCCCAAGTCGACCAAACTTGTCCAGCCAAAGGAGAGCACATGTCTCAGGAAAAGCCATCCTGCATGATGTGTGGAACGTAAGCATGCCTGAACTTTTTGAGTTTCCTTTCCTTCACTGAGTTCCAATTTTTTGCCTTATCACTCAGTCACTATTCGCACCCTGGTCTACTAATGCATTATTGGTTTGCTACGCTCGGTTCTTACCTCTATTGGTTCCCATTCACCTGTCATAGTGTTTTGATTCAAAATAGTAGCTCAGTGGATCGCCAACGGCATGTGTGTCATGTTGCTAGGTAGATGTCAAGTGCGATGGTTGTTATAGCTCAGGACAGTTTTTGAGGTATTACTTCAGTCTTCTTCGTATTTTCCTGATTGCAATGCAACGATGGTGATAGCACATGCAGGATTATATGTTAAATGTTAATTGACAAAGTGGAGTGAATTTTATCAAGTTGCAGAAATCTACATAAAATCATGTCGTGTTGCATCGAGAACCTCCACAATTCTTCAATCTTAATTTCATACTCCGTAGATGTCGCTAACCTGAATGCAATTATGGTGAGGCCGATTGGGTAAATTAGGAAAGTTAGGCTCTAATGATGATGTGAGCAAACATTCCGGAACTGCCTTGCTATCCGTAAGCCATTTATGATGCTGGCTGCCCCGAAGATAGCGAGGTTGGTTTGCCGTAAGCATCTTGCATAAGGTTCCAATTGATGGACCTCTCCGATGTAAATCTGCTTAGCTGACTAAGGTTGCACAGTGTGTGTCGTAAACGCGTATTGCGGTACCTGTGATGCTTCGTCACATATGATTAGTCGGCACCATTGATGCATAACTAAAATGACCTCCCCCCCCCCTTATTAGTATTAGTCAGAGGTGATAAATAATGCAGACGATCTTGAAGGTCCATCCGATTAAATAATTTTTCTGCCACGTCTTAAAGAGTGCTGGAGATGTCCTTCTCGACAATATAGTCTTACTTCAAAGAACCCTTCATCCTTCTTGGTCGTTTGAATTGATTCTTTGTTCTTCCTCTTCCCTATCATATCTAGTTCGACCATCCCAAATCATTCACACACGTCTTGCCCCTTCGTCATCGGTACACTCGTCCCGTTCATATGTTCCTATCTTCTTCAATACTTAAGGCAAATTAACCAACCTTGCGGGTGCATCAGTAAGCTAGGTCTCCGCCACAAATGGAATCACACTTACGCTACGACTCCTTGAAGACAAGAATGACGTCCGTGGATTGTCTGCTGTAACCGTGCTTGTAACCACCGCAAATCGCTGTTCGGCCAGCACCTGACTAAAGTTATACAAGCTTCAACGACAATTTTCCCAGTTCACAAGGCGGTGTGTAAAACCAATAAGCGATGTTTACCGTTCCCTAGTACCAGGGCCTTCTGTTGACCAGCACCGAAATTGATTGTGCGTGTGCAATGCTTTCGAATTTACTAGCTCCATTTCTTCAGCAAGTCCAGCTTTTTCAGCAGCCCTATCTAACGCCTGCACTCGTAAGCAATGTCGACAACAGTTGTTCTCTGTTTTCTAGTTTCTCGTAGATGTTCGTGCAAGCAATTGCCTTGAAAGTAGGATCAGCATTTAAGTAAGATCGTCACAGCTTTACATATAAATCAAGAAGAGCTGAGTTGCTCCCGGCCGAGATCCGTTATCACTTGTAGCAGAATTTTACATAACTGTCAAAAGCCATTACCACATGTTACTCCCTACAATTCCAAGAGTGATTACGGCGACTTCCGATGTCATGTTAGTTAGCGAGAAAATAGTTGTAAGAGAGACTGACGAAATAATGGCTATGACTCGATGAGCTGAGTTTCCTCCATTTCTAAGTGCTGCGGGAACGGGGCACACCACGCTGAACACCTGGCCCCTCTTATACAAAGCCATCATTATGGCAGATGAAACTGTACAGTCGCCCTCTTCGGTTGCAAAACATTCGAAATCTTTCTGCTGGAGGAAAAGGTAGACAGATTTGATATGTATACTTTATTCAGCTTAACGTTTCGGCATCAATGCCTTCCTCAAAGGCCTGAAAGTTAAGTCGTTCACGTTCATCTTACGGTTTACACGGTCAAACCTCTCCTTCAAACTTGAATATTCGATTCGTCTTAAGCGAACACCAACGAGCCTGGTGTTGGTGTTCGCTTAAGACGAATCGAATATTCAAGTTTGAAGGAGAGGTTTGACCGTGTAAAGCGTAAGATGAACGTGAAGGACTTAACTTTCAGGCCTCTGAGGAAGGCATTGATGCCGAAACGTTAGGCCGAATAAAGTATACATATCAAACCTGTTTTGGCAAAGAAAACTCTGAGATATACTACACATGCCCAGGTTTAATGAACAGAGAACCTATGAGGTAGACAGATTGCTGCCTTATCGATGACAAGCACTAAAGACCGGAGTCGAATACGATCATTTCGAACACGAATAATAGTGAGTTGCTCTAGATGTCATGAGGCGGATTTGCCTTTTAAGTAAAAGAAAAAAGAAGAAGAAAAAAGAAAAAGAATAAGAAAAAATGAATTTCGGCTATAAACAGAGGAGTTGAAGGCATAAGTATAAGTATACACAAAGACAGATTTAGAACTATAGCTGATAACAGAAACTAGAGATAGAATGAAGCGTCTGGAAGACGACCTACAGGGAAGCAGTCATGGGCGCTCAGCGCAGACACCGAGACTGAGATTTTGTATCCCTGTTTAGGAAAATACATCCTAATCAATCTAAAAAAAATCTGACCCTAAAAACTCAGGGAAAGCAAATGAAACTCATTCGCAAAACTTTCATAACTGGGTTGTTGTTTCCCTTGATTAGGGCTTTTCCTGGTGAAGTTATTTATGATGATACCTGATAAATCCACTGATAGGCGCTGCAGCTCAATACCTCAGTTGTGAAGGATACGATGATATTCAAAAAGTCTACGCTGGAAATGATCCCAATAATCAGATATGCCGCCGAAAAAATGAAAAGAGCCGTTGCGAAATACAAAAATTTCATCTGTTTCGAAACAAGAAAATTGCGAAATTTCGAGTTACCTCCAAGGGTTGGGCCAGACTTCGCTGGGAAAGCGGCGTACGCGGCGTACGCAGCGTACGCTTGGTATATTTCATCATAGGAGCGTACGCGGCGTACGCTGCGTACGCCGCGTTTCCAGCGCAGTCTGGCCCAACCCCAAGGGAAAGTAATTGCGAAATAAGACTATTGAGAAAAGGTGCATGTTGCATAGATTGAAGAACTGATAATCTGGCTCTTGCGCTGGGACGCGCAACTGTCTGTTGGTAATCTCTCACGGACATTACAGAATATGGCCCTCCCCCCCCCCTAAACCAAGCTCTTTTCTCCTCGAAAACTTAGCAAATGTTATACAAGAGGGACTGATTAGAACAAATTATGCGAAAGAATCGTGAGAGATTACCAACTGACATTTTCCTCGCAAAATGAAAACTTGGTACAAGAAGGAATAACTCGCATAGCCAGAGCGCTAGAATTACGAGTTCTTTATCTTAAACGAGGAAGTTTTTTGCCTGTTACACATATGAAGGCAAGATTAGGGTATAGGAAGTGGAAAGTAGCGACTATCAAAATGCTCCAAAGCAAAAATCTTTTGAGACCCTTTCAAGAAAGAAGGTTAGATTGCTGCCTTAACGCTGTCAAGCACAGAAGTCCAGGGTTGAACAGGAATAACACACAAGATTTTTTTTAGTGTGAGGCGCATACGCGCTTTGGGAAAAATTGGTAAATCGAGTTCTCTCTATCTCGAGTTTCACTGTTGAAACAAGCATCCGAAGTGTCTTCTACGCAGCAAGATTCGAAGTAATTTGCACTTTCTATCTCAAAAGCTGAAAGAAAATAAGGTTGCTGAGAGTTTCACTAAGTAAAATGATGATTTATAATAGTTGGATAAACAATGATGCACTACTATTATCTTTGCTAGAGTTTTATTTGATAATAACTTCACAAACCGTAGACTTGCCTGAGAACTGATAGATCCTATAATCAGTGGCGAACCGAGGGGGAAGGAGGGAGGGGGCGCATTTCTATAACTCATATAAGTAATTTTCAAAAACTTCGCGACCCAATCTTGACGCGAAATTTTTGAAAATTACTTATATGGGTCAAAAATGCGCAAGTGACTTGTTTTTCCTTATACAATTAAAATAATTTTCAAAAATTTTTAAAATTTAATTTAGCATTGTAAAAAGACTTTTTTCGGGGGAGTAACTGCCGCCACGCTCCCTTTTCCCAGATTTTAGGGGTTGGGGACCCGTAAAAATTTTGAGAAGCACCCCAAAATTTTTTTCGGAAAGCGTGGCTAACGCAACGCATCCTTTATTAGAAAAAACTTTTTGCCGCCCCCCCCCCCTCCCCGAACGGAAATCCTGGGACCGCCACTGCCTGTACAATGATATACAACGGCGCTTTACCCCAAAAAGAAAATCATATCACAGTGCGAAAACTCTTCAGGACATGGAAAATTACAAATTACAAATTACAAATTTGACTTTGTTTGTTAACGCTACTTGATAACGACATGGTGCCTATTTGTTGCAGTGATGTATTTCACTTTCGCGTAAATATCGCGAACGATTACTGCTGCAACATTTTTACATACATTATACTTGAAAAATAACCCCTTCAAAGAGCTACACTATGTGACGACAAGAAAAAATTTCTAAGTAATGGCTGGTCGCATAAAGTTCCATATATTTCTGCCCAATGTTTCTATTTATCGTTGTACTTCTCGTTCGCTGGGGCATGGAGAAAAACTGCTCCTTGCGATTTTGAATGTGAAGGCTCCTGATGGATCTGCCCCATCTTACAAATCATAATGAGCAGCTGCTCTTTGAATGCTGCCCGGTACTCCGCTGAGCGCCATATACATATATAGAACGTCTGCGAGTAGCAGAGCAGAGCGAAAAACACCTAAAAAAAGGCAAAAACTGAGATACAAAGAAAAGCACTAACAGCTGCTGAAGCTCGAAAATTTTTGCGAATACAGAGCGAGCAAGCGTTAATAATTGCATTTTTTCAGCATTGACACGAATACGCCCATAAGCTATTTTATAGGTTTTTCTTTCACAAAACGGCACAAGAATATTATCAGAACACTTGCTTTCATTTCGTAAATCAGGTTGCCCCCAAAGTTTGTCGGTTTTTTCATCGATCACCAAAACTCACGAAAAACCAATCGATGGATGTTTCAAGTACCATCCACTTCAGATTTTTATCCCCCTTTTCATGACTGTATTTTCTTTCTGATCTATGCTGTTTTTGCGATGTTCTCGCCATGGGTTTTCGAGCAGCTTAACAGTCACGCGAAAACATCCGTGAATTCTAAAAAAATCTTATCTAAATACTTTCAAAGAGGGCTGGCAGCTGTTATGTAGAGGAAACCTTTGACTACGTTAAAGTTTGCATGGGTCACCTTTAACAAGTCTGTGTTAACTATTTATTTGAGCGAAAACCGAGGCTTTCTATCATGTTTAGCAAATAAGAATAATTTCCGTAAATTTTTTTCATAATTTTTAATAATTCTTCGAAATTTCAAGAAAGCTGTATTCAGAGCAAATTAGACTGGATTATGTTGCACAAATGATGTTTGATAACAATCAAATCTCAATTCGCAAAAACCCTGGAAGATTTCACGTGTTTGCTGTAGTTGCGTGCTTCATGGCCTTATGAAAAATCGAGACCCCTGAAGAAATAATTTCTCGAAGTCAAAGACAGCAGATCAAAAGATTTCAAAAACATTGTAGCATAGTCCGAGATTTGCTCTATTTGTGCCATACCTGATCCTTTCCAGAACTCAGATATAAAGTTTTCAAAAATTGCCGAACCTTGGGCAGATAGAAATGGAGGGTGAAGAATTTTGGCAATTATCGAAAAAAAACTGCAAGAAATCTGGTTCGAAAATTCCACCATAAGAAAGAGAAGGAAAAGCTGCATCGAATGCATGTTAAAACTCATTTGGATTATGATGTTTTACGTGGTTTTATAGTCGTTTGAAAAAACCGCAGAACTTTCGGGATAACCTAATATTTACTGAACCGAATGGTACTGCAGAAAGTTTATGAAATATGTTAGAGAAACGCACGCAGTCGTTTTAATTACGATGTGATAAAATCAATTTGGAATATATGGGTACCATAGATGCGATAGGTGGAGAAATTTCTCTGACCCCCTTCACTTTATAGCCGGCACCTGGCTGATCCCTTTCACCTGAGATTGAGACTAGAATCAAGGCATAATGGCAGAATCAAACAGCTTTACAACGACACTTTTTGTTTAGAAAGGAAAGCTGCTCTTCTTCTCAGACATCAAGACTGCAAGAGATTATCCAATCAACAGCGTTTTGTTGAAAAAACGCATGCTCGAGACCTTCTGCGTACTCAAAGTGGTGTTGCTAACGAAATATAATCAAAAATAAAAAGGATGTCTGATTCTTTGAATAATTAACATTGTACCATGAATACATATTTTCTCAAGAAGGGGTTAAGCAAGACTAGAAAATTTGAACTAGTTAGTGATGGATGCATGTTTGCTGACAACAATCGTATCATATCTCCTTTCACTAGAGAGAATAATAACAAATAAAAAAGCTGTTGGATTACTCGTTTTGCAAGCCTTCGAATCATATATAGGAGTTCGAAAAAGACCTTGATTTGAAAAGATAATTTCCCAAACTTGGCTGATATTGTAGCTAGATAAAACTGCTTATATCTTCATAGAAAAGCTAGGAAAAAAGAGACGATCTACGTCGATTCTTCGTGTTCTTAGCTATCGAATGCCATACAAAATGTTGGTGCACAAAGCTTTCCCAGTCTAAAAAAGTCTTGCTCCGGTAACCCATAGAAAGCCGGAGCGGGGTGGAGCAAGTTAGTTTTGAATATCTCCAACTCATTTTTGGGAAGCCAGAAGTTTTTTATCTAACAACCTATATACCATTAGAAAGCCCATGAAAAAGGATTCGACGTAGACCGTCTCTTTTTCGTTAGCTCCCTTCTACCTACAGTTACATGGCATTTCAGCTAAGAACATGTGTGTTTTTGGCGTGAAGAATGAATGAAGGTGCCTGATTGTCTAACAATATCACAGAGCAAGACCTTGCCAGTAAAGGTCGACCGTTTATTTTTTTTCAATCTTTGTCTTTTCTTTCAAAAATGAAGCACAAAATAATTACATAGAACTAGTTGATGAGTAGGCGCACAAAATTACTCGTATCTCGCTCCACAGAGAAGCTATGAAAAAAAGACGGTACGTCGATTCTCCATGATCTCAGCTTTCCGATGGTATAAAGCACGTTAGGGTTTTTTGCTTTCCGGCTCTAAAAGGTACTTGCTCCGGTGACCAATAAAGGCCAATACAGCTGAGTGAGCGAGCTGAGTGAGCAAGCTAATAGTAAATATCTCCACCCTATTTTTAAAAACTGGCAAGTTTTTTTCGCTCGGCATTCTGAATATCATTCGAAAGCTCAGGAAAAGGGGATTCGGCGTAGACTGTCACCTTTTTTCTAGCCCCCCCCCCCCTTTATTGAATGATACACTGCATTTTGTCTGAAATCATGTTCATTTTCAACAGCAGATTTCCGTCAAACAAAGACCTAATCACTGCTGGTTATCTATCTATGTTACAGAGCAAGTTTTCATTAACAAACATAGACCGTCGATTTTCTAGTAGCATTCATATGGAGAGCAAAAGTGAAGACACAAAATCAGTTGATATATGAAGTACATAAAATGCCTCATATCTAGGGGCACAGAAGACCTAGAAAAAAAATCGACGGTCTATGTCGATTCTACATGACCTCAGCTTTCGAATGGTGTGTAAAGTTGGGGCATTTTGCTTTCAGGTCTCGCTTACCCCCTTCACCTTACAAGAAAGGGAGTAGCAGAGACCCTCTTCACCCGGAGAGGGCCCGGCTTCCCCTATCGCACCTATGATGAGTACGTCACACTCAATACAGTACGCTATCTTACGAATGTGTAATCTCTCATTCATCGTTAAAGGCAGCGGCTGGGCAGATTTTCAACTTTTTTGGCAAATTTGGGGCTATTGCGGCCCCCTGAATCACGACATGAACTCCCCTTAGCGAGAAATGGGGAAAACCCCGTCTTTTGACCCCCCCCCCCCCTTGAGACGTGCGCGGACGAGTGAGCCGTTTTTCTCTGCCGTCAGAGACGCAGAGTAAGGAGGCAGAGAGCGCTAGACTGCCCTACGAAGCTACGAGTGACGGCGCGTTTTCTAGCGGAGAACATACTCGTCCGAACAAGATGTTAGCGGAGCGAAAGGAGGAAGGGGAGCGGCGGTTGGGTTGCCCCCCCCCCTGGTATGCAGAGTTCGCATTTTCGGCGCGGAGTTGCTGTTTTGGTTCACTTGAAGGGCCTCCTATCCATCTGTGTCAAAATCTGAGGTAGGTTCATTCTGCCGAGACGCTGCCTTTAACAAGTGCTTGCACATTAGCTCATTTCGATTGCGCCAGATGTAAAAAGGTTGATATTCTGCATTGCGGTGTAAAGTTGTCAAGAAAAGTCGTTTGCATACCATGCTACTCTGCCACATTGCGAGTACCTCTGTTCTGAAATTGAACACATGACCCATGTCGATTCCAAGCGAGCACATGAACCATGAAAGGACGAAAATGATAACAAGGACTCGCAGTCTTCGAATAACTCTTCGATTATCCCTGCATATTCTGGATTTTGCTGAAAACAGATAACTGCTGAATCAAAGAACATTAAATTCTAATTCCATCCCATGTTTATGCAAATCTTATGCTTAGAATCAGTTTAAGATCCTAAAGACCCGAATCTCAAAGCCTCAAAGACATAGGCAGTGTAAATAATGCATGAAATGGTAAATTTGTATCGATGATGTTTACTACAAGAAAAGAGCATAATCACTGGAAACCCACGTAGGTGTTTTTGCACAATTTTTGATTTCATGCCTTTTAAGGCTTACAATTTTGGGCGAAAAGGAAGGCAGATCTGAGACCAGAGTTTGAAGGCACTTCTAAACGCATACATTTTTTCCGCTTATCGGTGCGACTTGCTATTCTTCCTTCATGAGTCGGGAGCAATGTGCTCTTGCATGCACGCGATGCTGATGCTTATCATTAACAAGCTGGCATACCCGGCTCCGCCCGACCCTGTCAATACACTGACACAATTGCCTTTTCTCTTTTTAGCACATTTTCCTAACCCTGAACCCCCTACTCATGAAGTTTTTCTAACCAGCAGTCTCACCTACCCTCTGTACCAACTTTCAGTCGGGTAGGTCAAACTTTGCAAATAATCGATAAAATCATTAAAAGTTACCGACGATTTAAAAGTAAACTAATGTTGTATTCGTAATCAGCATGCTCACTTACCCCTCCCACCCCCCTCTGTGGTAACTCCTAGCCCCGTAGGTCTATAGAAAAATTGATAATGTTGATACCAGTAACAAAAAGTAGTCTACGACATCCCCCATCCCCTGAAGTGTATGTGTGCAAAGGTCCCGATCGGTTCAGAAATGGAACTTTCTATTGGAAAGATACGTACACACAGACAGACAGACAGACAGACAGACATACAGAAATACATACATACACATAAATCAGTTTTATATAAGTGCATTACTATCTGAAAAGTCCGGGCACTTGCCATAAGTGGATAGGATCAGACTTCGAAAAACATCAGATTTTACAACTACCCAGCTGAGGAGTCGAATGTTCAGTAATTGCTTATAGTGTTCACTTCGATGTCATTGTAGACATTGCCGGAGAAGCCAAACAAGTGCTAAATATGATGACGTCATAGGTTGCACTTAGGCGATTGAGTCGAATCGTAAGGGTAAACAGTGTGGAAGCGGGCGAAAGTATAAAAATTGAGACAAAGATCTGGACAACCATCCATCGCGGTTGCTGACGTCGGATGGGCCCCCCTGCGCTTCATTACAGAGTTGATCGTATAGTATTTCGAAAATATTTCTGAAGGAGTGAGCGTCGAGATAGAACTGAAGGAAGCATGTATCCTATATCCAAGTGCATAACACATATCCTGACTGCTCTAGGGGTGTACATGCCTACCACTTACGCATGCGTTCACCATGAGGGCATTGACAAGGCGGAATGCGCGAAAAAGCGAGCGCTTCGCGAATCACATCGTAACAGAGCAACGCGGTTTCTTCTTTTGTAGCAAATATATCGTGTTTTTTTTTATCAAAAACAGGGTAAGGGGAAAGTGAATGCAACAAAAGACGTAAAGAAGAGCTTTTGGCAACAAACTCACTAAAAAGCTCGGGAACAGCAGTAACGTTTCGGTAACCAAAGTGCGGCGGAAAAAACCGGAGACGTATGTTGTATGATCGATCTGAGCTTTGAGTTTTGTACTTAACGTCTTTCAACAAACCACTATTTGGGGCAAAGAAACTGCATTGCCAAGAAGTTGCGGCATTGTTCTGCCAAAAGCTCACCTATCAAATCTTCTCACACTGAGTTCGAAATAACACACAAAAAGTAGCTTATAGAAGTTTAGAAAAGAACTAGAAACAAGCCAAAATCTGCCTTGAACATGTAGCAAAATTTGGCTGAGATGTCGAGACGCTTCACCTCTCTGACGCGACGTCAGAGAGGTGAAGCAAGCTACTTTGACGCATCCGTAAGTGAATTTTCATGTCGTGGGTCTAGCATTCTCATTACGAACGCGACCACAACGGAATGCGTAATCACAGCTTTTGCCGAGACAGAAGGGTTCAGTATGCCTTCCAATTTTCATAAATCTTACAGTGAAAAAGGTCAGCTAATCAGCAAAACACCATTCGTATGAGTTTTTTAACCCTTTCGGACCTGACTTTTTGCCCTTAAGAAAAGAATTCTTTTTTTCATTGATTCTTACTCATGGGCACATAAATAAGACTTCAGATAAGTTTGGAAAGTTTTCGACCATACAGTAAGAAAATACAAAGTGGTGGTATTTGCCACCAACAGGCCTTAGTGGAACGACTTTAAATACACCCTCACACCTCACTTATTTACAATGGAAAATTTGAAGCAATTTCTATGTTTTGTAGGCAAAGATAAACGTTACATTTTTTCACATTGAATTCGTGAACGTCCTCCACATGATTCTAGTTTACATCGATGTTCGTTTCCATCCTCATGTATCGGCCAGTGTCCGACGCTGTCATATCTAACTTCACTCAGAGGAATTAATCTGGGCTTCACGCGTTTTGTCGAAACGGCAGTAGGTGCAGTCATAATATTCGAAGAATTGGACAGCGGTCTTCCTTGTTTTGGTTCATTCGCGACACCAGACATTTTTCCTTTTCTCATCTTCGTGTTCTTTTTCGTCGCTTTCTTCAAGGTCTCCGAACTCCTCGTCAACATCATCTTCGCCAATGATGCCGCCGTAGCTTCTCTCAAAAAACCTTCCATTTAGGTTCCACTAAAGCCCACTGGTGGCAACGACGTACGGCTTCTGAAGGTTATGACAAATAGCCAAAACATGTAGACTCATAAGCAACTACCACACATTTCTCTAACGACCTCATACTGAACAGCTACGATAGTAGTATGAATAAAAACTCAATGTTCTTCAAAAAAATTTACACTAACCTGTCTGATTGTGGGGCCAAGCGCGATCCATCGTTCCTTCTTGCACGAATGCTTCTGGTACTGGGTGCAGAACGAACAAAAATGCGAAAGGACGCGCAGTTAGAAAGCAATAGGCCATCTAGAACTACTGTAAGCGGGAGTGCCACGAACATGCTGTAGCGGCGTTGCTGCAGTCCTTCGAAGTTGGTAGTGGCAATTGCCACCGCCATGTCCCAAAAGGTTAAAATGCTGCCATGATATTTTGAATTGAAAAAGAAACGTCGTAAGGATTATAATTTTGGAAGTTTGACGGAAAAGCTCATACTAGCACAAGGCGTGCACAGCATTTTTTCGAGTACGTTAGTAATGCTCACTCTGAGGAAGGGGAGGGGCACTTTGAGCGCTCAATCTCAGATAATCGCCGGGGGCAGGCGGCCATGCGATTTATGGGCGGACTGGCACTGGAAAAATAGTTCGCTGAATTCTTGCGGTCCGCTTGCAGATATTTGGAAGAATTTCAGCGGAATTATAGACGAATGCTTGGAGAACAATCGCGGTTTCCTTATAGATTAGCTGCGGAGCAGTGGCCGCATTCTCGCAGACTTTCCGCGTGAATATGCAGAATTTTGGAGGGCCGCACGGTCCTTTGTGAAGGACCGCGCGGCCCCCAGGTACTTTCCGCTGAGAGAAAGTAAGTCAAACTTGAGTATTTAAACTAACAGTGACACCTCTGCCACGCGGAGTCTTGCCTGTGCTCGGCGTATGCCCGAAACTGCTTAAGACTCCGAGGGCTTGCTGAAAGTTTGGCCAGCGCTCGCTGAAAGAAATTATTTGGCAAGCGCTTGCAGAAAATGCTGTATTGCTGCCCGCTGGCAGAATATGCGACCGTAAAGGAAGGACCGCTCGCTGAAGGTTTGGCCACGCCCCAAAAATCTGTTGAGCGTAGAGAAGCGCGAGTTTGCGAACCGCCTACCCCCGGCGATTATCTGAGATTATGGTTAACAAGTTTTCTCAAGATTTCAGCACAATTCTCAAGAGTCGGTTATTCCAGATACACTCAGATAATCGCCGGGGGCAGGCGGCCATGCGATTTTTGGGCAAGCGGGCACCGGAAAAATAGTTCGCTGATTTCTTGCGGTCCGCTTGCAGATATTTGGAAGACTTTTAGCAAATTTTTAGACGAATGCTTGGAGAACAATCGCGGTTTTCTCACAGATTAGCTGCGGCGCAGTGGCCGCATTCTCGCGGACTTTCCGCGAGAATATGCAAAGTTTTCGGGGGCCGCACGGTCCTTTGTGGAAGACCGCGCAGCCCCCAGGTACTTTCCGCTGAGAGAAAGTACCTCAAACTTGAGTAATTAAACCATCGATGACACCTCTGCCATGTAGAGTCTCGCCTTTGCTCGGCATAAGCCCGAAAATGCTTAAAAACCGTCCGAGCGCCAGCTGAAAATTTGATTAGCGCTCGCTGAAAGAGATTATTTGACTAGCGCCTGCAGAAAATTCTATGTTGCTGCCCGCTGGCAGAACATTAGACAGTAAAGGAAGGACCGCTCGCTGAAGGTTTGGCCACGCCCCAAAATTCTGCTGACCGCTTGCAGAAAAGCGCGAGTTTGCGGACCGCCTGCCCCCGGTGATTATCTGAGTAAGCGACGGCAGAAGTTTGCAGCGCGAAAGGCAATCTACAAAGTCTACAAATCGCCCCTCAAGTGGTCCAAATCTTACGGTAGGCTGGGGCGAGTGCGAGATGCATGCAAGATAGAGACGCACGGTCGTTGCGGGACCCTGCGCTCATGACTGTGTGCGCTATACGCACTCTGGCCCTGCAAATCGATATTGCTGTATGGGCGGCGTCCGTCTACATACTTCAACATCGCCACAAAAACCCGGCACCCATCTTTTCGCAGGGACGCTGCCTTTAAACTTGCCACAAACTTTTGCAGACTACGAAGAAAGAAGAAGTATTCATGTGCTGTGATATAAGTTTCCAGCTTTAGCTGCAAAAGGCAAATGATCGTAATTTTTGGGAACCGTGATGTTCTAGATATTGCTAGATGAAAATACTCTACATGGTCTGAACACCTAAACATCCTGACAAAAACTCATCAATTCTAGAACTAGGTCTACATCTTCTCAAAGGGTTGACAATGGAAGTGCACTTGTAATCTGAGAGGGGAGAGACGCTTTCTTTTCTTTACATCTTCATTTCTTTGATCTCGCTTTTATCAACGTGATTGTATGAAATGGCGACAAGGCAGCACTTGTAACTGGCTGCTGCTCTTTAGTCATCACAAATTCCGAGTTCCGTAGAGAGAAGTACGAACACAAAAAAGGGACAGTTACTATTCTCTTCATCACTGCATGGAGCTTCTCTTCCTAAGATCATGCATAACATCATCGTATCACGTACCTCTGAACTTTACGTATAGAATAATTATAGTGTAGACAAGCAGAACCAAACAGTTTATAAATACACCCGAAATAGACCAATATCTGCTTGGGCTTCGTGATAGTGCTGTAATAGCTATCCTCTTATTTTATATCTTTCCGACTGGCCTTCACCTAACGGAGGATTACAGAAGAGGATCACTTCATCGTCCTGTGTTGCTGATCCCCAGATCAATGCGGATAATGAGTACAATGAACATAACGCAAATATTGCGGTCACATAAGGAGCCGTTCTGCATATTCGATACCTATAATGACGAAGAGCATCATTTCAACCTTCACCAAGCTTTGCGAAGATTGCAACAGTGAGTATAATAGTTGTTTGCTTTATTGCTATTGTATTAGATTGTTTTATAGGTTCGTACAATTTTCATTCTCGTCTTTATTTCTCTGAGGAGCGGTGAATTTGCGGCAAGACGCGCTTATCATTGAAAAGAGCTGGGCATGCTTTTTCGAGTGAAATTATTGCAATAGGAAGCTAACCTACTTCGATTTCCAAAGATTTATTTTATTTTATTTTATTTTATTTTATTTGTTTCATACACGTAAATGTGTGCTAAAGCCTGTGTGAGTGAAGAAACATTGCTAGAGTAAGAGACTAGCCTGTAACCTTTCACCAAAACAAACAAACAGCGAATAAGGGCCTAGGTGTTGGGGAAGAAAAATTTCTTTGGTCAAGGGAGGTCAGGTGATTGGCATTGGGGAATGCCACTGCCACTTTTCCGGGCTGTCCAAAACGTCTGCGATTGGTTCCTGCCAGGTATCCAGCAACCGACACCACCGACGCTTGGATACACCTGCCTTATTCTGGGAAAGGCATGCATGAAACGCAGCTGTATAACACACTGACGACTGCTTGACACACATGGTGTGTCAAGCGATGACTACCGCGTGGGACCGCTTGACACACCATGTGTGTCAAGGCTTGAATTTTGGTAAAATGACTACTATCCTGAAATAAGTTCACTCCCTGAGCTTTCTTTTGCAAAAAATCTAGGGATGACTTCTACCTTTTTTGTCAGCCTTTCAGATCTACTGTAGGTGTACCGTAGATGGCAGTATGTGCAATTATAGTTGAAAAAGTGGGCTGGTCCGTAAAGAGGCTTTGGTCCCAAAAGGCAGACAGCTAAAAATCTGCATGGTCGTCAATGTGATAAGGTTCCAAGGCGCAATGCTGTTGCTCATCCGAAAGTGGGTGGCAAGCCAGCACAACATGGTTAGTAAACACGATGAATCGAGAAACACGAACACAATAAATCGAAAAAACAAAACATGGAATCGTGAAACGACGTAGTAGGAAAGGGCTTCACGAAGCGGCTGTCGTAAAAGCTATGTGGGGAAAGCAAAGCCCGAAACACACGAGTCGACAAGCGAGGGCCAGCAAGAAAAAGACCAGAAACAGGTAGACCTGTAAGATAAGAACTCTAAAAGCCGAAAAGAAGCATCTTCGACACCTGCGCTTTTTCTTGCAAGAAAGGTGTTCATGCAAAGGTTTTTCTGCCAAACATGGAAAATAACGTTTGCACGTCAGTATGAGTCCAACAAAATTGGGCTGTTTCAAAGTAGCGAAAGTTAAACGGGGTATCTGTTGGACAAAAGTTTTGATGGGACGGGCAGGGATACTTGAACTGAAACCTGCTGTACAGTCAATCAAATCTGCACAACTCATTTGCACTGTTCATGGAGCTATACTGCAGAAGAGGCCCAATAGACAGATCCAGCAGGTTTTTCTTCGCGACAAAATATGGCTGCGTACGGCTTACGTCGTTGACCATCCCGCAAGAGAAAGGGGGTTACATTGGCATCCATTGTGCTGCTGAAATCTCGCTTTAGAAGATTATCATTTGCCCTGGACTATCACATTTCATGTGGACGGCGTTTGCTTCGGTTTTGGAGGCAATCTCGAGCGCTGGTTAGGCGACTTTTTTGGAACCATACTTCCTGAGCTTTTGCAAAACTCAATTGACATGAGAGGAAGTGCAAACGGTTATGTGCAGTAAAGGAACATACATTATCGACTGATTTTCGACAAAATCCAGTCATTTCGTTAGTTTATGAAACTCTGCGGACTTTTGAAACGACCTAATACATGAGAAGTGAAAGTGAGCATATTTCAGAAGCACTTACCAGAGCGGAAATAAAAGTGCAGCTAGTAAATCAACGGAAATTGCCAGCGTCAAAATAGATTGTTGACTAATCATAAATATATAGAGCGCTATGAAAGGAAAGCACTGTCTCCTTGTAAACGGTGACAGAAACACAACGAACGTTGCATTTATTAGTTCGGATAACAAACAAAGAAGATGGCATACGGCGTTGATTGCCAATAATATCCCTGAAATAGAAATCGAAGAAAAAATTCTGGGTAAGAAGCCCCGGCAATGAAAGCGGCACAAGATGTAATAGGTTGTAAAGAAAGTTGCCGGGCATTTGCGAAATTTTTTTCAAACTGTTGTAAGTTCAAGTAGATTGATCCTTTTTGAGAGCTGCAAACTTCGCTGCAAAGGCAAGTTGTCCTACAAGGTATGCTTATCTTGTTGGATCGTCAGCGCTTTTCTCTGGGCCACCAGCATGCGCAATAGGGAAAAAGGTCGACTTAAAATTCGGCCTGTTTGTAGGATTTCTTAGGCACGAAGAGAGCTGAAGAGCTCATGTCCGGTAGTTACGTAGAACTCCGCTGGGGCTGTTTATAAGCTGTGTCATAATTTTGAAGCACAGCTTGTGCAAAAATTTTTCTCGAAAAAATTGAAAAATAGGCCTTTTTGCACCCTAAATGCCCCATTTTATGAGTGAATAAGTCTGAAGTCTTCTCTTTTTACAAAGAATGAACCAAATCTTTAATTGCCGCAAATATGGTTGTCTTGCACATCTTTTGGGCCCATCACCGAGGCATGATGATCCTTACAAAATCGACGCCGATTGCGGAAGCAGGTATGGTCAAAGGCAAGTTTAAGAGCTTGTAATTTTTGTGCGCGTATTGTAAAAACCGAGCACAACTGCGGCTTCAAAACAGACAGCCTTCCTATTCAGAATGATCAACCCTTGGATGGTTTTCGTTCTTCACTGCGAAAAAATGGCAGCAAAAAGAAAAATTGCGAAATTTTCATTGCTGCACAGACTTCCTTTTTCCGTGTGTAAATCAAAAACGGCTTGACATCGATAAAAAATGAATGCGCATCTGGAAAGCTTAGGCTTTTTTCTACAGAATCATGTAAAAAGTCCTCCTTTAAGGTTCAACCGAGTGCGAAAACAATGGCCCGTAGTAAAGCTCGGTCATGGGAGATTATCTCCCCTGAGACCTTCATGTGAGGTTCTGTCAGTAAAATGACGACCGCCCATTTCTCTATGCTATAGGGATGCAACGTCACCTGAGAGGTGAGCCTCAGGTGAAGTTCGGCAGGGAGATGATCTCCCTGCCGGGTCATGGGAGATGATATGAGCGATGATGTCCAGAAATAGTGTGCTAAAGAGGAAACGCAGAGAAAATCTTCGTAAGTTGCTCCTGAGTAACTTACGATACACAGCAATTTGCCTAACACTGCGGACAAAATCGGCGCAAAATTGCACAACCGCGCTGAACAGCTGATTTTGGCGGAGAAGACAGAAACAAACAAATTCTTCTCTTTTTTGTAAACTTTACTGGTTTTTTTTTTGAAGCTGTCCAAAACGAGGACTCATTTGTTTATTTCATTGAATTCACGTTGCAACCATTTCGCTTTGTCGCAAAATTTTCGTAACGAAATGTTTTTTTGTTTTATCTTTGCGTTTGCTAGGCGAAATCCTTGATAGCGCTCATCATCGATTGGATAGTGGCCGCTATCGAAGATTGCCCGGCGATGCAGCAAAAGTTGTGTCGCTAGGCGGAGTCGAACCACGGCCGCGCGCGTGTAATTCCAATGGCTTACCCATTTAACCAAATCGAACCAAGTAGCTGTTTTTTCGAGAACGCATTTGATTACAATGTCCAGAAAGCGATCTACACCAGATCAATAGCTCGCCGGATGCTGGACTGAGGCGCCAAGATATCAACTCCGGTCCGCCTCAGGGGAGATGCCCTGACGGTAGTTTACTACGGGCCAATGAGTCTGAAAATGAAATTTCCAAAACTGCCCGGGAACTTTCATTACAACCTAATAAATCTTTTCCTTCAGACAATATCACGCGCAATTTCGCATGAGTTATCAATCAATCTGTATCAAGAGTAACAGTTTCGACGCAAAAATTTCTTTGTTGAAGCAAAATATTACAGGACTTATAAGTACGACTAGTAGTGGTACGACTTCCCCAGAATTTTATAATTTTTATTGAAGCTGATATCTATTGACGATTGCTTTCTGGGCCTTTAGATTATCAAAATGATAATTATTCATTTTGAAACTAGGAGACTCACTTAAACACAATGAAACGTGCTGTCATGCGAATTTGTTAGATTCAGTACTACAATGGTCTTGTGCTTTCCAGTAATGCCTGAATAAGAATTCTCCATTTGTAATCTTTTTAAATTTCGTTAAAACTGCTAAAAAGTGTAATAAAATCTACCTAGCTATTATTATGACCAAAAAACTATTTTGATATAGGAAATTCTGTGATATGATTCTCTGCAGCGAGGTTTTTCTTTTCTGGAAAAACACCAATGCGCTATACAAAGAATGAAAATCCAGATGCAGAAGATGTGGAACCTATTCGCACGCACCGTGCCCTAAACACCAGCGTAAGCGAGCGGTTGTCTTGAGAGACTATAGGCGTTCTTTCAATCAAAACAATTCTCCGCCTACTTTTTGCTGCTTTCAACAACTTGTGTGTTGATTGTATGTTCCTTCAGACGTCTAAAGTGCGGTTTATAATTATACGAACACCCCAAATTTTGGAAGTTTTTGGACTTTTTGGAAGAAATTCAAAAAGCCTTGGTACCACGCGATAGAACACAGCCGAAAACGGTATATGATCCATAAGAATGGAAATGGATGTCAATCTTAGAAGTGTTTTTGCGCCTAATGCGATTTTTCAGCGGTTCATAATTATACAAGCACCTCAAACAAAGGTCCATTTCTCATTCAAAACTGCAATCATTTGAGTCCAAATTTTTTGTAGATTTACAGTAACAAAGTCTGACGTATCTGCTGCACACTGAACCCAGTGCAGTCGAAAAAGAAAATCTTTACTTTTTTCAGATGGCGGTTTTGGAGTGATTTTGTGACTCCAAAAACATCCGTTCTTCTGTAGTTCACGCACTCTAATTAGCTTCCTCCAAGGCTATGAGATAAAATAAGCTTCTTCGATAGGTATTTTGTTTGACGTTTGGAAAATCTATGCGTTTTTGTGCCCTTTTTCAACCAATGTTCAACCTTGCCTTAGAGTTAGCACGATTTCGAGCCTCAAAACTCAGCTTTTCTCTCGCGCAAACATTTGATACAGTGCTGGACATAATTATAAAGCCACTTTAGAAATCGCCGTAATTTTCATCTTTGTCAATGAATCTGCCTGAAACTTTGCTGTATTATGCGCATGTCAACCTACCATAACCCCTCAGAACGGCTTCCAGTCTTGTTGAGTATGAACGGAGAAAAACGAAAAAATTCGAAAAAGCCCTCTTGAAAGCTGGACAAAATTATAAAGCCACCCGGTTTTTCTAATCACTGTCGCACTCGTTGACTCTCAAATTTTTTTGCACAATTACACCCCAAAATATGAAACATTTGCAACACCTACGGCCTGTCATCCTACTCAAATAGAAGCGATCACTGCATTTTTTGCTTTCAAAAGCACCAAAAGTCAATCTGCTTTAACAAACAACTGGTTTGAAAAATTTTCAAGCTGTTGTTTATTTCAAATGATAACCATGGAATCTACTGACCCTTCTGGATAGATGAGGTGAAAAGCGCTTTCGTAAATCTTGCGTATTCGTTGATTTTGACGGACAGACTCCAGCATCACCATAGGGTTGACGCACTTTTGCACCACAAAACTCGATTTTCAAGCGACAGAAAATACTGTAATGTAGCCATTACGACAGCCATACAACAGTGAACTCGTCTGCATGAATGGGAAAAATTTCGGGATTGAGCACTCTGGTTTAGCCGCAGTTGACATTCACTGAATGTTGAGTGGAGCACCCTGCACAATCAAAGCCAACTCAGATCACGAGATAAAACCGGAGACGCTTAAAACTTCGAAATCTTAGCTAATCCCATTCTCCGAGTGAAAAATGACATGAAACGCATTAAGGAGATCTAGTGTTATATCGAATTTTCTGCTGGCAGGGAATTTTCGTGAAGTTTTTCAGGTCTCAGTCGCTACCGCATCATTAGGGAAAATCTGAAAGTTGTTGCGAAAGCTGCATCCCCATGTAGGTAGTGCAATAAATCAAGTTCAGCACTTTGTGGACGTTGCAAACTGAGTAATGTGGTGCAAAAGTGCGTCAACCCTATGGTGAGGCTGGAGTCTGCCCGTCAAAATCAGCAATTACGCAGAGTTTACGAAAGCGCTCTTCACCTCATCTATCCAAAGTGGTCAGTACATTCCATGATTATCATTTGAAATGAACAAGAGCTTGAAAACTCTTCAAATCAGTTGTTTGTTGAAGCAGATTGACTTTTGATGCTTTTGAAAGCAAAAAATGCAGTGATCGCTTCTATTTGAGTAGGATGACAGGCCGTAGGTGTTGCAAATGTTTCATATTTTGGGATGTAATTGTGCAAAAAAATTTGAAAGCCAACGAGTGCGACAGTGATTAGAAAAACCAGGTGGCTTTATAATTTTTTTTGTCCAGCTTTCAAAGAGGGCTTTTTCGAATTTTTTCGTTTTTCTCCGTTCAAACTCAACAAGACTGGAAGCCGTTCTGAGATGTCATGGTAGGTTGACATCAGGGCCCGGCACGAGGTGGGCAAACGGGGTTTTGCAAAACGAATTCCCCTTTCCCAATATTTTTTACGAATATCCTCTTGAGCCAAAAAACGATGCTTTGTGCTTGTGGAACGAGAGCACCGGCCACACTTCGCCTAAAAGCGCTCAAAAGTGCCCAAAATGCTAAAATTCCTCTAATCACTCCTCACCTGTATCAAAATAGAAAGCAGGAAGAAGAATAAGCAAGAAAAATGATGAAGGAATGAAGAAATATCAAAGTAATGCAGTCATAAGACTGAGAGGCGCCGTTCCCGCGCATATCGATCGACTGGGGCGCGCTTTCCACCTTAGAAAGCTA